ACTGTCTGTCCTCATGGGGTCAGTCTGCTGGTTTTTGTAGTGGATTTTCTAAAAACCCATTTGTTTGTTTTTTGCTGAAATTTTGAACAGAGATCTGGTCCATGGGTTCCCTCCAGTGAAATGTTCTTTGTTGGGGGGGGGCGGGTCCAGGGACACTTGAAGTGATCAAAGACAGTATTTTGACAGAATCTGAAGTAGCAATTGATTTACACTACATTGTATCACAAAACTGAATAAAAGTGTCAACGGGTCAAATCTTTCAAAAGGTGGATTTCTGTCCAGTGCAGCAGGAGACGGACGGGAGTGGTCTGTGTCCCCAGCCCCTGCTCCCGTGCCGGCCACCCCTCCCCCGAGCGGCAGCCTCACCTCTGGCCACCCCAGACCCCCATGCGGCCCATGCTTTTCCTCTGGAGGCCCTGCCTCACGAGCAGTGTCTCCGTGTACTATAGACCGAGAACGCTCTAGGCCGGATTGTGTAGATTCCAGTGCACTGTGTGGTTTCTTTCCTCAACGCTGATGAAGTGCTTCCCCTTAGGTCCCTAGTAAACTAGGCATAAAGATTGTGTGTGGCTGCCTGACCGTTGATAAAATAGCAGGGGCTGCCACCATCGGCACCTTCTCTAACCTCGCTGTCTTGCCAGATTACCAACACTAACCTAACTAACTAACCCGACCTCACCTGCGTGGACACTCCGCTTCCTGTCGTAGCTTCTCTTTTGGGTCCGTGAGGTTCTGTAAGCTCCGTGCTAACCACCTTCTGTACACCTGACACCCTGGCAAGAACACAGCATTGGACCTTTCAACCACTAGAACAAATGTTTTCTTAAATTGACCGTTGCAGAATTGTGGAGTGTTTTTACATTGATCTTTTGCTAATGCAATTAGCACTGTTTTGCATGTTATGACTTAATAAATCCTTGAACCGTATGTCTGGTCATACTGGAGTTTTTGTGAACATGACAACAGTCTGGTGTGGTGTGTGTAACTTGCTTTACTTAATAGACCTAGGTGATTGGGAGAAAGGCTGTTTATTCGAGGTCAGTCTCAGGTTCGACCATGGGGCAGGGTTGGACCTGGGAGTGGTACTCCTGTGGAGATAGCAACTGGACACCCACCTTCCGACCCTTGCAGAACCCGAAGCTGCTCACAGTGTTACATCTTCCCTGCTGTGTTGCACTGAGGTTTTAATCTTTTATTCTTCAACAGGCTGTTTATAATGATCAAGCCACTGCACAGCTTTAGACTATAGATCCTCCCTCCCTCACAGCTAGAAGCCACTCCCCTCAGGGCCCTGCCCCCCCTTCCACACTCCATGCCCCATCCCTCCATGTGACTGCCTGGTTAGCTACTCGGTTACTGAGAGAGACTGAGCTGCAGGTAACACTTCCTGCCCTCCACAGCCTCTGGCTTCCCTGAAAGAAAAGCCCCAGTCCTCAAGTGGAAGCGGACTCAAATAACCCTATCGGATGGGAGAGACCCACCGAGGCGCAGTGTGGGTTTGTGGCTGGGTCTCCACAGATGGACATTGTCACAGGTCATTCCGCAGAACTCAATTCACAGGGAATTCAGAACTGAAGTTTCACGTGGCATAGGAAACGCCGACACTACAGGTTGGCTCTCCACAACCACAGACAGCCCTGTGGGATCTTCAGCTCTTGGAGCTTGAAGAACCGGCACTGACTGCCTGGTGCCACGCCTTCCATCACGTGCAGTGCCGCCTCTATGTGGAGCACCGTGTCTGCTGCGGACCACTAGTTGGAGGTCTTTGCCCACGGACCAGGTGCTGATGCCCATAGCAACACCAGGGCCTTCCAAGTTCTCACTGAGGCTGCCCCAGGAGTCGTAGTAATGCAGGGCGCCCACTCAGCTGCCTGTGGGGGCCCCAGACACCGTCTGCCCCTCTAGGTGCTCATCTGGGCCCACTGCTGCCTCAGCTGCCTCTGGCTCTCGACAGGCCCTGCCCACCCCGGCCCAGCCTTTGCTTCTCCAAACACGACCTGGGCTCGGCCCTTCCTCTGCGCTCACCTGCGCTCACCGCACCTCAGCCGCCCACCCACACCTGTGTCCTGGGTGGGCAGTAACACCTGCCTTGCCGCCCTCTCAGCCCCACACCCCCACTCATTCACCAGGCCCCATCGACTCCCGTCTGCAGCCTGAGCTCAGCCTCAGACACTCCTGATGGGAGTAGAACGCCTATCTTTTCCCGCCGGAGCAGCTGGCTTGTGGTTCTGACCTGCTGACCTTACAGTCAGCAGCCCAGCTATGGCACCGGCAGGGCTGACTTCCCAGGAGATGATCAGGCCTGCTGGGGGTAGTTCTGTGACGACGTCTCAGGTGTTCTGTATTTTCCCCTTGTGCGTTTTCCTGGTCATCTGGCCTTCGGCCTTCTTGGGTACTGACCTTTGTTTCACGCACTCCAATTCTCCGTTTACATCATCATCTTCACTGGATTCTCCTGGGGGGTTCCTGAGAAAAAGTGTGGGACTCCTCAGCCCCTGCATCTTTGACAGTACACCTGGCGGGGTTTTAAAGTGGCAGGTTGATAAACGTGAGGTTTTTGAAGGCAGTTTCCCCTCACACAGGTTCCTCCCGACTTGCCAGGCTGTACTTGTGGCCCTTGTCCCAGGGCCGGCCTGTGTCCACTGGGATCTACTTGATGGGCTCTTTCCAGCTGGAGCCGCACCACCACGTCTTCCCGTTCCTCCTGGAACGGTCCCCTTCCCTCCCATTCCCGGCTTTGTCTTCTCAGTGGGCTTCAACCACTAAGCTTTCAACGTCCACGTGCTCTTCACCTGCCTTTGCGTCTCGGGATCGCTGGGCTCTGCTGTGAAGTGCAGTCAGGGCAGCTGCGGGCTCCCACCCCCACTCGGCTCCTGCCCACAGGCCACAAGGGCCACACAAGGTGGTACCACCCAGCACGAGTTTAGAAGAGGCCACCCAGGCTTTCCAACTGCGTGTAGAAGAGATGCTTTGAGCAGCGGGACACTGCCAGTCTTGGCCCTGCTTCCGGTGGTGCAAGTGTCTCCAACACTCACCGGCCTTGGATGGCTTTCAGCAGCAGGGAGCTGAAGAGGTGGCTAAGGAAGGAGTCTCAGGGCAGATCTCCCACTGCAGCTCCCTGGAAAGTGGGCAGGAATCCAGGGCATCCTGTCCTTGCCCTCTGTGCTGTGAGTACCCAGGCTCCCTATGCAAACAGTGTGTCACCCCATCTGAGGGGCCTGAGGTATCGTGGCAGCTGGTTTCCCACTTCCGGACTGGAACTGTCCTTCCATTCCTTCCCAGTCCATGTGTGGTTTTGTGCCTGTAAAAGCCATCCCTCTGCTGTCATTTCTTGGGGGGAGTGGGATTAGATTAGATGCTGCTACAATCCACACTCTTCAGCCAAAACTCTAAGATAAACCCAGGTCTCGTGTACGGAACACAGGTAAGACTCGACCGCTGGACAGTTACTCAGCAATGGACTTTCTAGAAACATCTCGGAGACAAGGTGGCTGTGCAGGCAGGAAAGCGTGGCTAGGTGCTTTATTTACTGAACTCGCTCCAGATCCACTGGCCCACCCGAGAGCCGCCACCACTGAGAAGGAAACCACGTCCACCCTCACAGGAAGAGCTGGCCTGTTCAGGTGTGGACAAGGGCCGAGCCTGGGTGGCACCCCAAAGGAGACTCAGCTCTGATGGGAATGTGGCTTCTCAGCCTGCTTCACCATCCACAGGTGTCTGCTGCGTGGCCAGGAACGTGCTTCCTGTAGAAGGAGGGCAGCCTCTGCCCAGGTCAGCGAGGGGAGCTGGGGCCTGGGTTGCTCCTCAGGGCTGGGACCGCAGCCAGCAGGGAGGTGCTTCAGGCCTTTCGACCTCAGGCCCCCAGAGTCCCATCCCCGACGTGATTCCCTCCAGGCCCCGTGGCTGGAGCCCTATACCATTGGGCACCACAGACTCAGTGTGAGCACAGAGCCAAGCGGGCAGAGTTCCTGTGGCAGCTGTGGGAGCAAGGGCTACACCGCCTCCTCCGGGGAGGCCCCCTCGGCTGGGCAGGAGACGCAGGCCGCTCTGTTGGCCACCAAGTGGTCCAGCGCACGCATCAGGATGTCTGGCATGTGGTCAGTCAGCATCTTGGGGCCGATGAGGATCCTGCTGAACTCGGCTTCATGGGACCACCTGGCGCTGTACTGAGCCGAGCGACAGTAGCAAATCCACCTGGGGGCCGGGAGGGGAGGCCGAAGTCAGCTGGGGTGGGGGTGGGTGGGGCCCGGGGCCCAGGTGTCCGGTGCACTCACCTGCCCGAGGGGCCCTCTTCCTGCAGGTGGATGATCCTGCCCGGAGGATACAGGGGCGGGTACTTGGTCGGGGAGTCGTCGCTGAAGGCTGGGGAACCATGTGTCAGCAGGCTCTGCTCGCCGAGGAGTGGCTGTGTCAGGTTGGCCTGGTGGGCCCCCTCCAGCTCAGTCGGAGTGTTATCGGGGTCCCCTCCAAATAGCTCATACCAGCACCCATGCAGCAGGATCTTGTACTGAGGGAGGAACCCACAGGCAGAGGCTGGTTACTGTGTGGAAGGCTTTCCCAGCTGCCACCAGCAGGCTCTCAGGGACTGCCTCCTTCACAGCCACCCAGCTCAGCCACCCAGCTACTGAGGCCCTGACAAAAGCGGCGGCTCCTGGACCAGAGGCCATGAGTCCACCCGGTTCCTGTGTGGCTACTGTGTGACAGGGCAGAACTGCCCTGGAGGGTTTTCAATAGAGTGGACTGGCCACCTCTGGGCCCAGCTGGGTGTGGTCACCGTTTGCCCCGCTGGGGACTCACTGTCCTACCTGTTTTGCTATCTCAAAGCCAAAGCATACAGATGGGGGGGGCGCGAATAAAAACGGAAAAGGCCTTGGCGCTGAGTCCCAGGGACCCCACAGGACAAGGAGAACTGCTGTGCGTGCATCTCCTGGAGTAGAAAGCCCTTCCTCCCAGGGTTTGAGCCACGCCAGCCTGAGTCAGCAGACCAACTGGTGAGCTACTGGGCCACCAGGGCGCCTCCTCATCACAGACCCCTGAGCCCCTGGAGTCTGTCTGACAGCCTTAATTCCGAAGCTCTGGGGCAGTACCGCCGACGGCACCGGGCACAGGGCACAGGGCAGGAAGCAAGTCCCACAGGGCACTTCCTGTCTGTTTGAGACAAGAGACCTGTGCGGGCGGGGAGAAGAGCTTGAAGGAGCCCCATAAACGGCCCTGGAGTTGAGGCTACCCAAAGACCAAGTGCCCATCCACTCGCCCCCTCGCAGGACCCTCGGAGGCTTTAAGTGAGACAACCCCTGCCCACTTTCTACAGCCAGCAATGCCCTCTGGCAGGAGCCCGAGAGGCCAGGAATGAAGGCAGCCCCGCCCACAGGACCCTCTCACAGGAGCCTGCTGCTTGCAAGTGAAGACAACGCCATCCATTCCCTTCCATGGTCCCCCTCCTCACAGGACCCCCCTCCACCTTAGGCTATGAAGGAAGACAAGCCCCACTCACGGCCCCTGCCGCGGCCCCCGGCCCCTGCACACCGGCCCCAGGCACCTTGGGCTTGTTGCAGTGTGCAATCACTCGAAGGACCCTCCTCTTCAGATCCTCCATGTTGGTCACACTTAACCTGGTGGGAAAGAGTGGGTGGGACCCAGGCTCGGGACGCACGCAGACCCCCCCTCCCGGCGTGGGCGCATACGCACCTGGGGATCACGTCCTTGCCCAGGACCAGCGACACGGTGAAGCTCTTGGAGTACTCGTACAGGGACTTGCTGAAACCCCAGAAAGAGGGAGGAACATTAGTGGGCGAGCCCAGTCTGAACCCCGAGCCCTGCAGGTGAGGGGACTTCAGCGAGGGGCGCATGACTGCACTCCAGCAACACCACAAGCCCAGTGCTGCCGCCTCAGAGCCCGGAGGGCAGACCGAGCCTCCGCGGTCTTGACCCAGCAAGTCTCCTTCCAGGGTCTCTCAAGGAGGCCAAGAGGGCCACGCCACAGGCTGTCCACACCCCGGTCTCCAGCCTCAGACAGGCAGTCAAGCCACAGTGTGGCTCAGCCACGGTGAGGTGAGAGGATGCAGACCTCTCAGGGAGTGGCTGGGGAGTTTCCAACTGCTGACTCCGCCACCAGGACAAGGTGGCCAACTGAGAAATCCCAGCGGCCAGAACTCCCTTTTCCTAGGAAACCCCACCCCTCAGGCGGCAGACAGCGGAGTGCATTACGAGACCTGGAGTCTGTAATAGGCCAAGCCCGGAATTCCGGCCAGCCAGGAGAACACATGACAAGAAGGCAAATGCCAGGAACAAGGGAGACCCAGGGGCCTCAGAGCAGCTGAGACCCCCGTCAACCCAACAGGAGGGGGTTCCAGGGGGCGGGGGGGGCGTCTGCACTTGGCGTCGTTCCCCACATTGTGCAGGATACTCAGAACCCAGGCTCTCTGCCATGGAGTCGGTGTTGCCTATCCGCCCTCTAGGACCGGGAAGAGCTGCTCCTGTGGGTTTCTGAGACCGGCACTCTACGCGAGTGGAAGCCTATCGGTCTCCCACGGGGTAGGGCTAGTGGTTTCGAACTGCTGACCTTATGGTTAGCAACCCAATGTGTAACCACTACAGACACAAGCAATTTTGTACCACCAGGCAGAAGACGACCAACCACAGTCTACCACCAGAATCGAGCATGCTGGATCGGAAAAGAAACAGGCAGTTTTACCTGTGTAAGAAAACAGAATCCCGGGACCCCCTCCCCAGCTTGCTCCTGCAGGACGACCATTACCTGAGCAGCCCCCGGGGTGGGGAGAAGGCGTAGCATCGGACTTGCGGGTAGGCTTTCTTGAGCATGAGGGCCAGCAGGGCAGCGGCACCAGCCCCCAGGCTGTGCCCAACCAGGACCAGGTGGTACTCCTACGGGACAGAGAGGGTGAACGTGGCACCCTGCTGGTGACAGAGAAGACGCGAGACACAAGTACAGTGAGACTCACGGGGGCGACGCTGAAGGCCTGGCTCAGGATCCCGTCGTCGATGAGGCGCCGGTAGATGTACCGGGCGGCTTGAGAAATCCCCTGAACATGGGGACAGAGACAGCCATCACTCGCCAGGCAAGGCGGGTTCACCCACGACTCAGAAGACAGGGTCACAGAGACCTCGGCTCTGTTCCGGACACCCCAGTGCAGCCAGTCATGTTTAAACCATACCGTCGTCTACCAAGGAGCCTCAGCGGTGTAGTGGGTTATGGGTTGAGCTGCTAACGGAAAAGTCAGCAGTGCAAAACCACTAGCTGCTCTGCTGGAGAAAAATGAGGCTTTCTTCACCCGCAAAGATGTACAGCCTTGGAAACCCACAAAGGTAGCTCTACTCTGTCCACAGGGTCACTGTGGATCAGAACGGACTCGAGGGCAGTGAGTCTGGCTTTTCAGTGGTCTGTTGAGGAGGCAAGTCCCTGGAGAAGGTGAAGTGGAGGGCAGTGGAAAGAGGAAGACCTCGGACAGAATGGATTGGCACAGACTGCAACCGTGGGCCCAAACACAGGAACCACTGTGCGCATGGCTCACGGCCAGGCAGTGTTTCCTTCCGTTCAGACAGTTGTTGTGCATTGAACTGACTCAACACCACCAAAGAACGAGCCCAGAACGGCAGCGAGCCACACCTGCTGGGCACGGGGACCACGGGCTCAGCTGTGCGCTGGGTCCCTGGGACTCCCCGAGCAAGCACCCACTGACACCAACAACTCCAGACCGACGGCCGTCTAGACTATCCCGATTCAGGGACCCTGGAGGACAGAGCGCCCTGTGGGTGTCCTACGGGAGCAGACAGCCTCAACTCGTTCCCTCAGGGTGAGGCACGGGTTCGAACAGCCGACCTTCCAGTTCACAGCTGAGCACTCAACCACCAGGGCTTCTTGATGTCAAGGCAAACTCATTTAAGGACGCCCTTTGCGTTTCTCCATGCATGTGCACCCAGATTCGGACTCAGCGATCTGCAGGGCGGAAACCTGCTGCACGGCCCGGACCGTTTGTGGGCTGTCCATCTGCAGGGAATAAGCCTGCCTCGTCTCCCCAGGGGGCCACAGGTGGGCTTTGTCCACCTGAATGTGCAGTTCACAGTGGAGTGCTTAAGCACTGTGCCACCAGGGCTCCTGAGGGCACCCAGTAACACTTGCGAACGACACCACAGAGACAGCTAAGGGTTATAGGTAAAAAACCCCACTTCCCTGGGATGACCAAGCTTCTAACTGGTGAGGGAAAAAGGACCTACATCTTGGCTTGTTCCTGACAATGACCAGGCAGGACAGGGCCCGTCGCTGGCAGGGCCCCTCTTTCTGGAACACTCTTTATTTTTCAATTAGATATTTCATTTAAAAACCACTCACTGCGGAAGCAGTGCGTGCCTCAGATGTGCATACAGCAAAGGAAAGGCCCTGCCGGCTCCACCTCAGCTTTTGGAAGCTTCCCCAGGAGCGATCTCAGTCTTTGGGTGTGACTCACTGCAGCTTTCTGTTCCTGAGGCAGGCCAGGCGCTGACGGACCCCCGCCCACAGCCCAGTCACAGCGAAACTAGACCCTGGGGGTGGTGCCGCCCATGCCCACCGGCCTCCAAGGAGGGTGGGAGGGGGGCTGTTGGGTACTGGATCAATCTCTCGTTCACCAGGACAATGTGCTGCATCCAGTGAAGGAGGAGGAAAAGCTTACTTTCTGAGCCACAGCAGGGACTTACGAGACCAGCCTCACGCCGTCTTCCTCTCCGCCCCTCAGCACACAGCCCCAAAGCCTGGTGGGGCTGCTAAGACAACTGGCCTGGACACACACGGGCCAAGCTCAGCACTACTGACAGGGGTGGGGTGGGTGGGGTGTTGCAGCTGGAAGCCCCTGGCCCCAAGTTCCCCTTCACGAACATTCCAGAACATTCCGGGAGCCTCTACCTTGTGTGCCACGCAGTCTTGCATCTCCAATCCCAGGTCAAGGGTCTCGCTCTCGGCGGACAGGTCGGTGAGGATGTCCTGCGAGAGGTCACTGTGAGGCCGTCACCCAGGCAGGCCAGGTGGGGGGCGGAGACCACACCCAGCGGAGGGGAGAGCCTGCCCCAATAGCACTTGAGATCCACAGGGATGAGTCTTCCAGCGTGGAACCTCGCTTCCAGAGGCCCCAGGCATGGCCAGCTCTGGACCGGGCCTGAACTGTGGGAAGACCCCGCTGGCCAGGACAGGCCGAGGAGGCCCTCGAAGTATGCATGCAGAGCTCACGCAGCCCCCGACTCGGCCCCGACTGCCACACTGAGGGTTGGGGACGTGGGACAGACAGGGCAGCTCATGCAGTGAAGCCCAGACGGCATCCGTGGACGCTTACAAGCGGGAAGGCGAGGAGGTGATTTCAGAAGGGATCGGGGCAGTTTGGTGTGGGTATGGGACTGAAAAATGGCGACTCTCACTGGAACTAGGAGGAGTGGCCATGTGGGGACCTGCAGGGCCACGAGGAAGGTCCCCCAGCAGGTACACTGGGCCCCATACAGGCCACGGAGGCAGACAGACTCCAGCAGCCCTGGGTGTCTGTGTGACTTTGAGTACAGAAAGCTGGAGGAAAGGGGGTCCCCCAGGTGAGGGCTGGGGAGTTGGGGGGTGCGAGGGCATGTGTCCTCTAGAGATTCTGCTGCTGGGAGTCCAGCCTGCCGCTGCCCACGTTCCTGACCTTTCCCCGAGAAGAGGAGCAACAATGCCGGTCTTTTTATAGATGGGGAGTTTCTCAACCCTGGATTCGCTTCCTGTTTCACATCCCCAACACAGCCTTCATGCTCTCGTGCCAGTGGCTGAGCGTATTCCCCAGGAGCGGTTTTTTCCTTGGTTCCTCCCAGCAGTTTCCCACCCACCGGGGCTCCTGGTCTCCTGTGGCACCCAGCCCATTACCTGGAGAGACATGGTTCCTCTCACAGCAACCACGACCGATTCTTTCCTGTGGTCCAGAGCCACGAGGAAGGGAAGCTCATAGACCTGCGGGGCAGAGACACAGGCCTGAGGCCTGAGCAGAGAAAGCATGCTCCCACCAATAACAATGCGGCCCTCTCCGCCCCCCAGGCTCGCTGGTAACTGCCCTGGAAACTCAAGACGAATGGGCTCACAGGGCCCAAACAGACCCAACTGTCAAAAAGAGCGAATGGCCCTCCACCAGGAAGGGTCACAGCACGGACAGACGGGCACGCCACGCACAGGGCAGCGCTGCTCACAGCAACAGGAAGATGCAAGTAGCCTACGTGCCGTCGGCGGGAGAACGGGTGGAAAACCCTGGTCCACACACGATGGGGCAGTACGCATCTCAGCTTGAGGAGACAATGCCATGAAGCACCTCTCACATGGATGGACCTGCAGATCGTGATGCTGAGGGCCACTAGCCAGTCACAAAAGGACCAATGTCATACGAGTGCTCCAGGGAAGGGAAGCAAAACAGGCACAAGGTGGAGGCTCTGGAGGTTGCCGAGCGGGGAGGGCAGCGGGGAGTGGGGCGACAGGTGCACAGGGATGGGGGCTGGTCCCCGGATCAGGGAGTGGGTGGGTGGGAGGCATGGAGGCTTTGATTGGTGGTTGGGACTGCTGCATGCAGACGATCTGAAATGCAAACCTCCACTTAATCTAGCAGCTACTGGCCGCAGAGAGCCCCTTCAGGTGGCCACCACCTGTGACCCTTGGGGGCCGGGGCCAGCCTCATCATGCTCAAGGTAAGCCACTAGAACCTTCCCCAGTCACTTCCTCCACATACACCTCAAGTAGGGGTGGGGTGGGGGTGCAAGCCGTAAGCGCGCTCAACTGCAGATCGAAAGGCGGAGGTTCAAGTCTACCCAGAGGTGCCTCCGACGAGAAGCCTGGTGACTGCCTTCCCAAGGTCAGACACGGGCAGAGACGGGCGAGGCCAGTTCCCCTCTGACACGAGGGCCTGGGGGGCAGCGGGGACCACGGTCGGGAGCAGAAGTGCCAGTAGATCTTGCACAGGCACCCACTAGGGACTTCTTGGCTGGCCTAGTGGGGGCCTGTCCCAACTCCTGCTGGCCTCTCGGGTGACCATCAGGTGTTGTGAAGCTGGCCCAGGCTGGAACCTTAGCTAGCTGCCTCTCCTGCTGCGACCTGCAGCCCACACCCCCAGCTCTCCGCCTCCACGTTCCCTGCAGGGGCCATAGGTTCACAGAGCCTGAGGGCTGGCGCGCAGTCTGCGGGGAGAAGGTGTCCGGCTTGTGGTGAGCAGTGGCCAAGTGGCTGATGTTACTCAGGCATGGCAAAAGTCCCTCAGGTGGGACAGGCAGAGACCGCTGACCCCCAGCCCCTCCTCTTCCATGGGAGATGCTGTCACCCCACTAAACTGCGTGGCGGGGCTCCTTGAAGGGGCCTCAGGGCAGACGCATTTCTGGGACCAAATCTCTTCCCCCTACCACCACCTAGTGAGGGCTGTGTAGAGGTCGGTGCTGGGCCCACTGAGGACACCCGGCCGAGACACTCTGACTCCACTGGACTCGGTGGGGGAGGCTCCTTGGGTGCTGCTGGCCACGGTTGTCAGAGAGCTGCTGGGCTGGACATTGTGGGTCAGGGCACCCTGTGTCTGCACGCTGGAATTGCCTGGGAGTTTAAGAATGCCTCAGCCCGCCTCCAGAGCCTGACCAGTGCCCCCAGGAGTGTCGGGCAGCACAACTAGAGGTCGGCAGGGCTCTTAAATGTGCCGCTCTGAAGACCGACCACCGGAGTGGAGTCTGTCCCGCAGGCCCACCACTTGCCCAGGTGACCCCGCACCCACCCAGGTGTGCAGCCTGCCAACGGACAGACCCAGAAACAAGACCCCCTTGACCGGAAGCCTGTGTGGAGCCACACCGAATGCTTACTTGCTGTGGGCTTCCGGGCTGGTGGGGGAGCGGGGGCTATCTCTGACAGAAAACTGCTCTTCTCTCTTTTTTAATTGGGGTGAACGTTTATAGAGCAATTTGGTTTTCAACAACTTGGGCACGTTTTGCTTTGTAACGCTAGTGGCACGTCCCCAGTGGGGCAGCAGGGCCCCCCTCCCCCTATCCTTTTGCCTTCTTTTACTCCTGCCTCTTGGCATCTGAGCTTTGCTTTTGGGTGTAAATGCTGCCCTTTTGGTCTGGCTCAGTTCACTGTTCTGAGCAGCACACACCTCAGCTGTGCTACTGCGCCCCAATTTCTAAGGCTGCCTGCTGTGTGGTTGAAGGGCGATCTCCAAGACCGGGTGTCTGGGGTGTCTACAGGCTGCAATCTTGGGAAGCAGGGTGGGGGTCCACCTGTCTCTATCAGACCAGCAAGTCAGTTCTTTTCCATGGCTGTGAACTGTATTCTACTTTTTCCTCCCATTCTGTGGCCCCAGTAAAAGCGGTGAGCATGGTGGCTGGGCACCCTCTGGCCCTTCTGCCTCGTCCTTCTGTGTTGGCCTATGGGCTCTTTCGCTCCATATTCTTGGCTTTTCTTCACTCCTCCTTCCTCCGGACAAGGAGAGAGAAATAGTCACATCTTAGATGGCCCCAGGTGCCACCCACCACAGCAGGATAGATCATATTGCCTTTGTGATCTCTGTTATGCCAAGTGACCCAGCGGTCTCCCTGGTGTTTGCTCTATCTTATGTTAAGCCTGGATCTGCTTGGAGCCATGGGTGGGCTTCCAAAGGCTCTATAAACCCCCTATGTCATAAGCAAACCTTGGGGTCTGTGTGCGTGTGTGGGCGCGTGCATTTTCTGGGGATGCGATTCACGACTGCCATCAGAAGTTCAGGGGCTTCCAAGGAAGTCTGGTCTGACGCTAAACAGAAGGGAGAAGCACAGCCACGATGCGCGCGCCCCCCCTTCGGTGGGTACCTTGTCGTGGAAGCTGATGTGGATGAAGTCCCGGTACTGCAGCCCTGTTGTCTGCAGGATGGAGCCAAAGTGGCAGTGGAGCTGTTCACCCCCCACCAAGTCATATTCCGTGGTTTGGCTTCTGCAGCTGAAAAGAGGGGGGTGTCTAAGGGTTGCTGCACCAGCTCCAGCCCACCCCCCCCTCCGTCCCCAGCAAACGAGTGTTTCCTCTGCAGGACTTGGTCTGGGGACTGGGTGGAAGCTGGAGGAGAAACAGGATCCTTAGAGGACCTTGAAGTCTCCCCCCCACGTGACTTCTTATTCACAATGGGGAGAGACAGATCTCCCCTTTTGGAAAACCCAGCAGACGGACAAGTGTAACCAAACGACCAGTGTGGATTCATAGCTTCACTCAGTGGCTACAATTCTTCACCGTCGGCACCAGCAGAACAAATGGCCAGGTGGCTCCTGATGTGATTGACTGCCTGCCTAACTCGACTCTAATCAGGAGGAAACACGCAGAAACACAAAACGTGTGGGCTGTGGACTTCCAGGGGCCAGGACTGTGAGAGAGCGCGGCAGGCGGCAGGCCTGCTCCAGGTGCAAGGAGCCCGCTGGGGGACAGCTCGGTGCAATGTGAAAGGCTGGGTCGATGGGAAAATTGCTATGAAGGATGGTCCTGGGACCACAGGGGAAAGGTGCACACCCACCGGACACAGCCGACCATCAATGCGAGTGGTTGTGACTTTCCTAACTGCCCTCTGCTTATTCGAGAGGCTGGCCCAGCCGCCAGAAAGCCCTCGCTGAAGCTGCGCCGGATAAAGGGGTAAGAGGTTGGCCACGATGCTCCCGTGGCTCCGGGGAGAGGGCGGCGGCTGGAGTGAGGGTGACCGGGAGCATGTAACCAGAATGAGTCACCACCCGATTCTGGAGAAAAGGGGTGTGTGGGAGGGAGAGTTCCTTGCACTGTTCTCGCTGGTCCCCGAAGGACCTCAACACAAAAGTGCTGCTGCTGCTCTTTAAAGCAGGCGTGGTCGGCAAGGGCGCAGGGTCACCCTGGTGCAGGGTCACCCTAGCGGGCCACGCCTCGATGGCAGGCCAGTGCTGCTGACTGGCCACCTACCAGTCGCCGCCGACCTTGCAGAGCCCCGTGAACGGGTTCCTGTAGATGTAGAGCGGCCAGCCGTAGGCAGCCGCCGCAAACTGCATGTAATGGTGACAGTTCTCCAGCTCTGCGTCCAGATCTGCTTCCTGGATGAGAGAGAGGAGAGCTTCGTGTTTCTCACAACCCATGGCCCCCAGTCAGCTGTGGCTCACGGTGACCCCATGGGGCAGCGCAGAATGGCCCGGGTGGCTCTCTGGGGCAGGACACTTCCTCCTCCTCCTGAGGAGTGGGTAGTGGGCTTGAACCGCTGCCCTTTCGGCTAGCAGCCCAACGCGTGTCCCACTCCACTACCAGGGCCCCTTTGTGTTTCGGGCACCCTATTCCTGGAAGCGAGAGTGGCCAGACTTGGTCTCCTGTGATTCACAGGGTCGCTATGAGTCGGTAGGGGCCTGATGGCACCTGCCGACATCATTCCAGAGCGATGGCTGTATTACGACTTCAGCCTCAGGGACACACCTCTGTGCGGATTTCGAAGGGACACAGGAGTGCTGTTGCAGGGGTGCGGGGACAAGCAGAAAGGCAGCGATGCTCTGACTCCTGGGAAAAGGAGCAGCCATCCTGCCCTGGTGGTGGTGTGCGGGACAAAGCTCGCAGGCTCCAGACTGGGGCCTAGAGCATCTTAACAAGGCAGCTGGCGAGCAATGTTTCTTCAAAGCCAGCAGTGTGTGTCAGGAAAGGGCCCTTGCAGAGCCAGCCAGCTCCCGAGCGCCCAGGGAAGAAGACCCACACACCAGGGACCCGGGCGCCCCCAGGAGAGGTTTTCCCATGTGCAGCCCCCAACTGCCAACTTCCAAAAAGAGGATGCTGTGGGGTAGGGGGTGGGCAGGTACGTCCCGACCTGCACTTCAGGTGAGGGGGCGGTGCCCCACCTGACAGGTGACCCGCTGCACCCAACAGGAGTCACACGAGACTCTGGTCCCAGCACCGCTGACACGGCTGGTTGGCAGTCTATACCGCCTGGGAGTCAACACACCACCCACAGGGACTCGAGGACGGGGCTTACCTGCGAGGAGCCTGGGGCGTGGCTGACGACCTCGTTGGGTTCCTGTGTGTTTCCAATGGTGTCCTGCTGCTGGTGGAGGAGGGTGAGGCCCGCTGCGATGTCACTGGGCACCAGGTCAGTGTCCTGGGTGGGAGACCACAGGGGTGGTCAAAACACCTACAAGGAACTGCTAGCGGGTCCCCGAGAATCCCCTTACAAAGTTCAGACAGACAGATGCACACCCGGGAATCAGGGTCTTTTAAAAAATTAGTGTTCTCAGCAGGACTCCCTCTCCATACAAGTCGAGCTCAAAAAAACCCAACCACCACCTCTCTCTCCCTCAAACCCACTAAAAGAAAAACCAAGCCATCCCATTGCCGGGACTCATGGTGAACCTGCAGGACAGGGTAGAACTGCCCCAAAGGGTTTCCGGGGCCGTCACTCTTTAAGGGAGCACACTGCCTCATCCTTGTGCCCCAGAGCTGTCGGTGGGTTAGGACTCCGGGGGTTGGCAGCCTAACCTACTACGCAGGTTGCATGATCTTGTTCTTGGCAGTGGGGTGACCAAGTGTTAAGGCTAGATGCACTTGACCGGAGGGGTAGGCCTGAAACAGTCCCCCCCCAGAGGGCCCGTCCCTGGCAAAGCACCTCCCTCGGCCCCCCAAGCAGCTGCCAGTTAACATGGTTCAGGGGGTTGGGGTGGCCCAGAGAGCAGGCGGGCGTGCAGCGAGGCAGGCGGCAGAGGGAGAGCCACACCAGTCCCCGCGGCTTACTGAGAAGTAGGTTGACAAGAGCTCTGCCGTACTCGAGAACGCCGCCCGCGTGTGCTCGTCCTCGCCGACGCAGCAGCACAGCAGCTTCACCCGCGTCTCCCACACGCTGGTGGCCGCCGTCCGGAGGCCGCTCAGCAGCTGGCTGGAGTCGTGGCCGTGCAGGGGGCCTGGGCCGGGCCCCATCTTCCCTCCCAGAGGGTCAAAGACTATGAAGATGATCACCACCGTGGAGGCGATGACGATCCAACTGCCAAACAGAGCGAGGGGTGGGCTGGAGGCAGGGCACCGACGCCCTGGACCAGGGTTTCCCAGAGTGGGCCATTCTGGCCCCCAGGGGCAGTGGACCGATCCAGGGTGGCTGCCAAGAGCAGATACCTGCACTCTATCCTGGGCCACGGTGACAACAGGACCAAAGTCTGTCTGTCTGTTTGTTTGTGTGTGTGTGTGGGGGGGGGGGGGGGGGGGGGGGGGGAGCTAGTCTTTTGAATAAATGGTGCTTGAAAAACTAGGGCCCCACCTGCAAAAGAGTGAGAAGTCCCATACCTCACACCACATACAAAAAACTAACTCGAGATTACAGACTTAAATAGAAACCCTCGAATATTACGCATTAGCAAAGAAAAAAACCGGGAAAAACTTAGGGTCCTGTAGAAGTCGCAAACACATTACTAACCCTAACACCCACACGGGCGAAGGGAAAACAGGAAACTGGGCCCTTCTGAAAACACATTAAGTTGCCAAGGAAGAAAAAGAACGTTGGGCAACGGATTGTGGTAACAATTGTACAATTCTGCTCGACGTGACTGAACTATGGAAAGATACGAGGGCAAACGGGTATTTTCACTTTCACATATCCAGCCCCACCCCCAGGATGATAATTGCAGGGGGTACTAAGAGAGCAATTTATTATCTGAAAGGGGGGATAGTAGTTAAGATAAGTTTGAGAACCTATAGCCCAGGACCTGGCTGACGCAAGCCAGTCCTTCCTTCTGGAAAGTTCCTCACCAGACCTGCAGCCCAGCCTCGTCTCCCCAAGCTTCCTGGATTTGGCCTTGCTCACACACGGAAGGTCTGTGGCTGCCCTTCGTCAAGCAAGTGGAGGGGCGCCCTTCTCCCCACAGCCCTGCTCACTCTGGGCCTCTGTGTCCCGTCTCACCATCTGGGTGAGGTTCTCAACATGCTCCCCGAACCTCAGACCACAGCCCAGCATCGCAGGCACCGCTGTTTCACGCATGGAAACCCCACTGTGAGCGGAACTCGCTTGGTGGCGATGTCCCTTCCTGCGGTGTCCTGGGCGGGCTGAACTTAAGACTGCCGGTGGCCTGGAGGCACCCTGGGCTCCAGTGTCGGTGAAGGAACTGCAGACCAGTGGCTGTGCCAGCCCAGCGTGCAGGGGAACTTGGGTCTCCTTCCTATAATGCGGGGCTGTCTCTGGGTGGTCGCTAGACCCCTGCCACCCCCAGCCGGGTCCCTGTCGCGACCGACTCCTGCCGCTGCACCTGGCCTCACTCACTGTGTTGGTCTTTGTGTGTGGCAGGGCTGGGGAATGCCCAGCCCCTACTCGGCCTGAAGAATCATCCATACCAGCCATCATCACAACAGGGCTCCCCGTGTGTGGTAGTTACATAATCTGGTGTCAATTTGAGGATTAAGAGTGTAGGGGTGGAGTCTAGTCTGTCAATCAGGACATAGCCAAGGAGGCCTCAGTGTGGGCGTGGCCTTCTCCTGAGGATTCTGGGAACTCCTGTATTTTTATTTCCTCCTTGGAGGCAGGAGACTCTCTCTCTAGGCTCACTCCCTTGGAGACTCTCTACTGACAAGGCTCACTCTGATGTCACTGAGACGTCCCTGTGGAGAAGACACATGGAGAGAGGCTGATGGAGCCAGACCTCTGGAGCCAGAGAAGCCACGTGGAGATGCCTGCCAGCACTAAGATGCTTACCATGCCACTGGATCCTCAAGACTTCCCACCCACTGGCCTGTGATCACCCTGCATTCGGCATCATTGCATGTGTTGCCTGAGTCTGAAGAGGAATTTACAGACTGGTAATAGACATATGGGCTAATATCGGATTTATGGACTTGATCTGGACTGGGCTGGGATGTTTTCTCAATATTCAACTGCTCTTGAATAGAAAGCTCTTTCTTATACACATATTTGTCTCCATGAATTGGTTTCTCTAGTCTACCCCAGACTCACATGGGGTGAGTCTATGCCATGGCTGACCAAAGACAGCAGGCTAGCTTCCAAGTCCCTAATTGGGTATGGCCCACACGTGATGTTGTGACTATCCAAATGGCCCTTGAAAAAAGCCAGGTTTGTGGAAAGACCTGTGGGCTTTGCTCCCTCCTGGCTCTCAGCGGTCTGCACCACTCCCACCTCTTACACCGCGGGCCTGTGGAAGGCGCATTCCTTCTCAGAAACAAAACAAAAACCAAACTCGCTGCCATCGAGTCAGTGCCGACTCTCAGCGATCCACAGGACTGCCACTCAGCACGGAGCGGAGCCTCGTTCTTCTCCCGTGGCCCGGCAGGTGGTTTTCATCTGCTGATCTTGCACTGAGCAGCCCAGCGCATGACCCGGTCACGACGCCACCAGGGCTCCTCCTCACCAACCAGGGGGCTCCGCAGAGCTTGTAGGAAAGTTCCGGGAGCTGCGCTTTGGCTCTGACTGCCCACGAGCTCTCTGAAGCCCCTCGTCCAGAGGAGCAGCTCTCTCTGTCCCCGTTGGCTCAGGGTGTCTACCTTCTCCGACCGACCGCCGCCACCAGAGGGGAGTTCCCAGGAGGTCTGCAGAGCAGACAGAGGGGCTCACCTGACAACCACCGTGGCGATGATGCCGTTCACGACCGTCCGGTTGCACTGGACTCCCTGGGAGACCCAGATGGCCCCCACGGCCGCCCAGACCACCTCGGGCAGGAAGAGCGCCAGCCGGATGTAGAGCAGCTTGGGCATCGACTTCCGGGGCCCGGGGTTGCAGATGGTGCCTGGAACGCGGACAGCATTCAGGCCGGCCGTCCTTCTGCGGCAGCCTAGCTGGCAGACGCCATCTCCCCCTCACCCAATCCCAAGTCACTCCGTGCTCCGTGCGCCAGGGAGGGAGGGGGGGGGGGGCCGGAAAAGCCCTTGGCTCATTTCTCAGGCTTCCCAGGGACGAAACTCTGTTGGGGTCTAGCTCGGGGGTGGGGAGGGGGGTGGGCACTTCTGAGCGTCCGAGGGGCCCTGTTAACAACCGTGCTGGGACGACAGATCCCAGAGAAACAGAACGGAGCGAAGGAGCCACCTGCAAAGGCGCAGGCATCCCCTGCCGTGCAGGGTCAAGGTCGGTCAGAACCCGTGGCTGTGGTGCTGTCTCTGATGCAGCACGGAGACAGAGGAGGAGAGACCATGGACAGAGACGGGAGCCAGCCCCAGTGACGGGGAGACTTGTTCGGGGCTGGGGCGGGATGGCTGCAGACCTTCCTCTTGTACCGCGCCTAAACCGAGGCGTGGCCGGTGTGGCTGCCGGTGGGCGGCCAACAGTGTGGTGTCGAGCAGGAGCACTGTCAGCCTGGAGGCGGGCCGTGGCTCCCGGTTGTCGGTAGGCCCCAGAAACAGGGCCACAATGAGTGCCAGCGACTCTGAGTGCGAGCTTTTGGTGGAACAACAGCCGGCCAGCTGGGCAGAAACGCAAGGCCGGGGTGGACGTGCTGCTTCCTGAAGGGTGGGGATCCGGGATGAGGCGATCCTGCCACGCCACCGAAGCACCAGGACTCATGCCTCCGGCAGGTGTCGAACCACAAGAGGGAATGCTGTCAGCCTCAACACCGAAGAGCCCGTGGCGGAAGCCCAGGACCAGCGGCAGGCGGCACTTGCTGGGGCAGCTGCAGAAGTTGGGGCGGCGCACGGGTCGGCCCTTTTCATGGCCGGTGCACATCTTGGCCCAAGAGAGCTTTCGGCCGATGGAGCCGACCGTGCGGCACCAGTACCAGCTGGCTCACGGGGCTCATCGGTCTAAGGAAACAGTTCCACGGGAAAGATGACGGCTGGGGACAACTCTCAGATTTACCACCACAAGCTAGAGAGCAAGGGAAACGTGGACACCACTGTCGTTGAGCCTATTCTGGGCTCACAGTGACCCTACGCGACTGGGAAGGACTGGCCCTGTGGGTTTCCAAGGCTGTAACTCTTGACGGGAGTAGAAAGCCTGGTCTTTCTCTCGAGGGTGAGCTGGTGGTTTCGAACTGCCGACCTTGCAGTTAGCAGCCCCTTGCATCTCTCTCTCTCTCACGTTCATATTCACACATTACATAGTTATGAGAAAATATCCATTCCTCTACCTCGCCTTAGACTCAAGACAAAGTGTCGACACGCTGTGACCCGGCTCCAGCAGTGGGCGGGGTGGGAAGCCGGACACCCTGTAACGAGGGCACATGGCACACTCCCGATGGACATGGCCTTCCCGAAGTCACCTAGCCGCCCTTCCCCAGGCACCACCAGCAGCAGAGAAGCCAAAGTAGGACCCTTTCTGGCCAACACCCCTCCTGGGACTCTCCTGGATACCCTGCTGTCCCTCAGCATGTGTGTTGGCGGTGTGTGTGTGTATGTGTGTGTGTGTTAATGACAAAGAACAAGGGTCCTGCCTGGCAGCACCGCAGGGAAAACTCGTCTGTTTCTGGATCTTTCCTTGAGGAGAGACTTTCCACAGCCTCCCAGCAAACTCCTCACGAACGTCACTGCCCTGCCACTGCCCTGCCGCTCCTCCCACTAAGCAGAGACCCCTCACAGCTGGCTGCTCTGACTCGTACTTGGCAGAATGTGGTCGATGAACGTGCCCAGGGCCAGTGGGGGCGGCAGCAGGGAGGTGTCTGCAGCACCCGTGGTCTCGCTCTGCAGACGGTTTCTGTGCGCTGCTTGGGGCGTGCTGGGGGGTGGGGTGGGGGAGGCACGAGGCAGGCGTCTGGGGAGGAGCCACCTCACTGTGGGGAGAAGGCAGGGTGCACTGGTTCTTCCCATCTGCATCCCCAGCTGCCCCGTGATGTGGGCAGAGGGCAGGGGGATAAAAGGGACACACCTCCAGGACGTCTTATTCCAGCTACGAGGGGCCCTACAGGACGGGGCAGAACTGCCCCGGCAGGTTTCCAGGCTGGGAATTGCCAGCCTCATCCTTCGCCCAGAGTGACTCAGGCTCACACGCACCGCTTCTGACTCACACAGAACTGCCCTTCAGGTGCCCACCGTTGCAGACTTTCACGGGACCAGATGGCCTCGTCTTTCTCGTGAATACCAGCTGGTCATTTTGAATGAGTAACACGTGACCCGCAATACCACCAGGGTTTTTGTGATCAACTGAGGAATGGATACCAGCCGGTCCATCCACACAATGGACTATTACTCAGCTCCCAAAAGGAGTGAAAGGCTGGCACACGCTGCATCTGGAGTGAGCCTTGAAGACGTGATGCTAAGTAATCCAGACCGAGAGGCCACCCAGCCCTGATCCCACTTCCATGATGTCCCTGGGCCAGCCCCAGCCCGGGTGGCCATGCTCAGGGGTGCTGAGACCCAGTCGAGCCTCAGCTCTCACACAGGACACAAGAGGAAGCGGCCTGCTCTTTTTCTCCAAGAGACACTGTCCCAGCAGCTCCTCCCAACCCTTCCCACTGGTCCATTGTCTTGAAGGATCAGGAGCTGGATTCTTCCACCCTCCCTCCGGCCACTCCTCCCGATCAGCAGAGATAAAGCCACCTGGGGGTGGTGTTGGGGGCCTGCCTGTGACACACAAGAGGGCCTACTGATGGGTGTACCGGCATGCTTGGCCCCTCTCCTGAACCAGGGCGACCAACCCATCCAGTCAAGTCCAGGTCACAGGGACCTCACCAGACGGCAGAACTGCCCCCATGGGTTTCTGAAACTAACTCTTCACGGGAGCTGACAGCCTCATCTTTCTTCTTCGGAGCAGCTGATGGGGTCACACCACTGGCGGGGGGTAGGTGGGGGGGGGGGGGGGCCCCCCCCCCCAGGCCCCCCCCCTGCACCACCAGGGCTCCTGAGAGCGACCAACAGGTGCTGTTGTCCGTTCCGGCTTATAGTGCCCTGACGTAAAGCAGAAGGAAACGCCGCCCGATCCTGCGCCACCATGCCCAGCGTCTGCAGTGAGGCCTGCCCAGGCCAGTGATTGTGGGCAAAACAGACAAACAAACCAGAAGGCAGTCAGGATCACTGTAATCCTTACAACTTAACAACTAACGGGCCGACAGTGTAAAATCGGGCAAAGGGTCCGAGTCAGCACCCCTCCAAAGAAGAAAAACCCGCAGGGCCAGTAATGAGTCACGATACCAGGAGGGGGCGGGGAAGGTGGGGGCGAAAGGGGGAACCGATCCCAAGGATCTACATATAACCCCCTCCCTGGGGGATGGACAACAGAAAAGTGGGTGAAGGGAGGCATCGGGCAGTGTAAGACATGGAAAAATAATAATAACTGATAAACTATCACGAGTTCGTGAGGGCGGGAAGGGGGTGAATGAGGGACAGAGGGAAAGGAGCTGATACCCAGGGCTCAAGCAGAAAGAAAATGTTTTGAGAAAGATGAGGGCAACAAATGTACAAATGTGCTTGACACAATGGATGGATGGATGGATTGTGATACGAGTTGTACGAGTCCCCAATAAAATGATTTATTTAAAATAAAAAAAAAACACAAAACAGATTTCCAGTCCCAGAAACCCAAAGGTTAGTTCTACTCTGTCCTACAGGGTGGCTATGAGTTGGCATTGGTTTGATGAGTTTGCAGTGTTGAGTCAGGTGCGCTGTGTGGGGCTTGAGGAGCAGCCTTTACCCCCCGCTGTGACTCAGAGCCACGCAGAATGAAAGCTCGTGGGCCGTCTGTACAGCCGCCTCTGCGTGTGAGCCCAGTACTGCTGCCACCACATCCATCCATCCTATGCTGCTCTCCGCTTCACTGAGCGCGGCGTCTTCCTCCAGCGCCGGGCCCTCCTGAGGACATGTCGGAGTCTCGCCACCCTCACTTCTAAGGAGCGCTCTGGCTGGGCTTCTTCCCACACAGATGGGTGTGTTCCGCTGGCAGCCCGTGAACTCTGAAGGTCCCTTGCCAACGCTGCAAGTCGGAGGCACCAATTCTTCTTCGCTCTTGCCCACTTCAACGGCCAGCTTTTGAATGGACGTGAGGAGACTGCAAACACCCTGGCGTGGGCCCGGTGTGCCTTAGTCCTCCAAGTGACAGCTTGGCCTTCGAGCACTTTAAAGGAGTCTTGTGCAGATTTACCCAGTGCAGCGCAAAGGCTGTTTGTTTTTCCCAAACTGCTGCTTCCGAACAGCTGACATCCGTGACAACGGCAATCGCTTGCCCATTTATCAAGGCCTGGGGGCACCGGCGCCCTAATCTACTGCTGGTGAGAATGCACTATGGCGTAACCGGCAGTTAACAGTCTGGCAGCTTTTCAAAGTCTCAAACACAGAATTACCACACGAATCAGGACTTCCACTTCTAGGTATGTGCACACACACCCCAGAGAGATGAAAACATACACCCGTGTAAGACTGCTAGTGTGTACGGCAGATTCATGGTGTCAGAAAGTGGAGACAACCCAAACTGGCGAAAACCAAAACCCAACCCACTGCCACCCAGACGGTTCCAGCTCACAGGGACCCCTGTGTAGGATTCCCAAGACTGTAACTCTCCACCAGGCAGACAGCCTCATCATTCTCCCGAGAAGCATCTGGTGGGTTTGAACTGCCGGCCATATAGTTAGCAGCCCAGTGCTTAACCCATGAGCTCACCAGGGCTCCTTCTCAACTGAGGAATGGGTAAACAAACCGTGGTCTAGCCATACTGCAGAATATTACTCAGCCCTCAAAAAGGAATGTCGTGCTGGGACGTGCTACAACCCTGGCTGAGCCTTGAAGACATGAGGCTGAGTTTAAGAATCCAGGCCAAAAGGTCACATGGCATATGATCCCAGACATACTGTCCAGAACAGACACATCTAGAGAGACAGGAGTTACAGCAGTGGTGGCCCAGGGACATGAGGCATGACTGCTGGGAGACATGGAATTCTTTTTTTGGGGTGATGGAACGTTTGGAACTTGACTAGTGTGATGGTGGCCCAACTGGATGCCTGTCCCACAAACCACGGACTCTCCACCCTCTATGGGCGGATCTCTCAGTCTGTGCAGGACCTGGCACAAAAGCTGCCCCAGCAGGAGCGAGTGGGTGGGAAATCGGGAGAGCTCCTCCCTTTCTCTTTACCTTTCATGCTGACGTTCACGATGGCGGCCATGGCGCAGATGACCACCGTCAGGAGCACCATGAGCACGATCAGGTAAGTGCTGAGCAGGGTGCCGCCTGTGCAGTCCAGCTGCTTGCGGTGCTGCAGGTACAGCGCCAGGACGCCTACCCACCTGTCAGAGAGAAGGGGACTGTCAGGCCCGGGACCCCGGAGCGGCTCTGTGAGACAGGGTGCAAGGAAGGTCAACTCACTGCCATCGAGTGACGCCCAGTCACAGAGCCCCTGAAGGACAGGGTAGCACTGCCCCTGTGGGTCACCCAGACTGGAACTCTTGATGGCAGCAGAAAGCCCCGTCTTTCACCCGAGGAGTGGCTGATGGTTTCGAACTGCTGACCTTGCAGATCACAGCCCAGCGAGTAACCACTATGCCACCAGGGATCCAAGGAAAGTCTAGGAGCCCTCATTTTCCAAAGTCAATTCCCACCCATCGCTCTGGAATAGAATGTTTCTCAAGGGCAAATCTGCTTTCCTGATGCAACTGGAAAAAAAATAGGGGGAAATCAAATCCTGGAAATGTCCAGACCCCCTGAGGCCAAAGGACACCCCCCACCCCTACCAGATGATGGATCTCCTGAGAACTCTTTAAACCTTGAGCCCAAACCTTCCTGAGGTCACCTTTAGCAAAATGACAGGTTGGTCCAGAAGATAAAGGCTATCATTATTACCTGAGAATCCAGGGCTGCTGTCAAGCCAGGTGAGACAAAAGGCCAGCGACAGCATCCCACACTTACTGGGGGTACTGCCCCCTTTTCAGGGCAGAAAACAACAACTAAGTAACTCAGGGCCCCCGGCAATTAAAAACATTTGTCTTCAGTCCTTCACCCAGGATCAAATGTAGGTACCTGCTTTGGCAGCCAGCCCCCCTGCCCCAGGGGTGGTACCACCCACTTTGAGCAGGCGCTGGTCTACAGCAAAGACTGGCCACGGGGTCTGGGAGACAGCTGGTGCATTGCGAGAACCAAGGTGAAGCAAACTGTCAACCAGGATGTGAATTCGCTGGGAAAACCATCACTCAGAGCCCAATGGGTGTCACTTCATGATACTAGCAAGCGGATGGATACACCCAGACAACTAAAGAATGCACCCATGTTATGTTTCCACTGTGAGCTGGGTGGGGAGGGTACAGAGCAATTCGTTTTCCGTCCAACAATGCACATGCATTCACATGTGTGTGGGGGGGTAGGGGTGTAGGGTTCTAACTTCCCAGCTTGAACCCCTGCCCCCAAGTCAATTCCCCCTCAAAGCAACCCTACAGGGCAAGGTGTAAGTGCCCCTGTGGGTTTCCAAGGCCACAACTCTTTATGGGAGCAGAAAGCCTTATCTTTCCCCCATGACTCCATGGGGGAGTCATGGCTGGTGGCTCTGAACTGCTGACCTTG